TTAAACAATAGGACTGCAAGCTCTCTTAAGTTTCAAAAACAGTACTTAGAATCTGGTCTCTAAAGTTGATCAGAACGCGTTATTTTTGCCTGGCAAGACCTTCTCTTTTCCCTTTTCCTTCTTCCTTTCTTTCTCTCTCTCCTCTTCTTTCCCTGTCCTCCCTTCTTGTTTACCTACATATATTATATCCTGTTTTTCTGGACTGATGATGACTCTTAACGATTTACCACGGAATTAATTAACTAGTGTAAACCAGTAGGTTCCCTTTGATCATTTTCTCTGATACAACCTACAGCTCAGTAAATACCTTGTTTTGCCCATTACTTTGAGGCCCTGAGAATAGCAAATGTTGACTTTCAATAATACTTACACTAATACAAAACTGTAAACACTTGGCTATACTGGGTTACTTAAAAAGACTTACAGTAGGTGTTTTAATCTTAATAATCTCTTTAAAGATATTATTACATTTGAAATATTATTTCTAATCTATTTACAGAATTATTTCTGATCTAGAAACTGTTTTTAGTTTTCCTTTGAAGAAAAATGCTTCCTCACAGCTATACTATAAAACTGCCTGCAAGTATACAACTGGATTTTAGAAGGTGACCAACTTAGAAGGTTAACCTAAAGAAAATGTTTCTGAAAAGTGAAGAAAAGGCTTTTGTTTTTTTTTTTTGTTTGCTTTAAATACATTTTTTTAGTACCTTACAGCTGCCCATGTGTTTATTTTCCTAGGAACCACCTACTAAAAGATTGCTCCCAAATTGGGTGTGTTACAATTTTTTTTTGTTGCATTTTGATGCATTTATGTGGTAGAGGAAAAAGGGCTGTGTCTAATCTACACTCTGGTGAGTACTCCAGAGCAACTTTTGTTCCACTTTTACTGCAGTCTTATAGCTTTGCACCACAATCACATAATTTTCTTACTACACAGTTTGTTTAGCTCAGTTGCAACAACCAAAACAGGTTCATTTATTACAAATGCACTGTAGTCCCATTTCTACATGATAAAACAACTTCATCTATATTGATTTTCTGTACATCACATTAAGGTTTGTAACCCGCCAGGACTATGACTGACACTGTACTCAAACAATCAATTGCTGTTATAGACAGTAGTGTCATTGGTCCCCCGTTAAGGTGGGTTCTCATAGTGCATTTTGATTAGAGCTTGTGGGGCTGATTTGAAGGAAGCATCGATTACACAATGAAGCAAATGGTTTAGAGGTAAGATTTTGCAGCTGCAATCGAGAGGCAATGATAGATCAAGTTAAAGTGACTTCTTCATTTCAGCACTTAGTATTGATTTTGGCTTTAGATATAGGTTTATCTGTGTCTCAAGTGATTGCTGTTTATTGTAATAATCTCAATGTAAAAAAGGCCATCGGGACATACTGGCTGGTAGGATGCTAAATTTAGCTTGCTTTGCAAAAGAGAAACATTCTCAATGGTCCTGTAATTCAAAATACAGAAATACAGTAAAAATACAACAAACATTTATTACTGTAACACTCTATTTTTTAAGGAAAGAAGTGTTCCAGACTTTATGTATTTAATGGCAAATAAATAATAGTTTTGATTTTTTTGTTTTGATGTTAATAGATTATCCACTGAGATGGAGTTTCAAACAAAAAATGATCCTACTACACATCTGATAAAGAATCCTGTGACAATATCAGTTTATACTTGAGTATGCCTCTTTTCATCCAATGTCATGCAAACAAAGGGGGAAGGCAGTTGGTATGCAAACTAGCAAAAACAGTTGAAACTGAAATTAATGCAAATTGTGTAACGGCCCTGTGATGTTTTTGCATGCGTCTTTCATTTACAAAGATTGAGTACATGAGAAGTTCACACCTAGAAAACCAAGATATGCTGTTCAAAGCACTGGGTTACATTAGTAATAATAAACCCGTGATGTGTTATGCTTGATCATTTACATTTTTATTTTATGAAACCTTCTCAAATTGTCTTTTAAAAGATAATAATCTCTACTAGGTTAATGCATTTTTGGATTAAACAAGAAATATATACTTAATATCGAAGAATAAAATGAAAACTCCCTCTCAACTATTTACATTTTTACATCTGAAGTATTTGTACAAAAATGGGTTTGGATTTTTACATCTTGCATCATTCATATCAGCAAATGGAACTGACAGTATCCCTTTCTGGCTACTTTTTTCAGCCACACACCTGATTATCTGGAATCCGAGCATGCACTTCCACTTCGTGGGTAAAACACATACACATAGAAATTTTCCCAGAGACTATAAAACAGTAACATTGCATTTTTAGAGACAAAGAAATTGTAAAGTAATGGAATTAATGTTTGTTATGCTGAGCAATTATTGTCAATAATACTTTATCAATACAATTTGCAGTTGTATGTCATTTCTCAAGTATACTGCTGAGAGGTTCTTGATTTATCAGCATACTTTTACAGTATGTTCAATATTAGATTAAACACTTTGTTATAAAAAATGGTTTCATGTAATAAGGAGTCTTATAATTGCAGTTTTATTTCTTAAAAAACTGTAATTCTAAAACATTTAAAATACCTATTTTGTAATACAATTCCTAAAAGACCATATATTATTTTCTTAATCTTAAGAAAAATTGTAGCAGAAAATATTTAACAGGCAAGCGGTGACGATTCAGTGGTAGACAAAGTCAACTATGCCTTGTAAAACACACTAATTACAGAAGTAGGATTAATCAATTTTACATTCACACACAATGGGGACAAGTAACAGAATGTTCTATAGGTGAGTCAATTTAACAATGAGAAGCTCAAATGCATTTATATTTTCATACCCTACATGTTACTATATCGGCATTTCTATTTTGTAGAAATAGGTCCAGCAAGAATCATCCTTCGCAGTAAGCAACTTAATCTTGCATTTGGAACAGGTAAAGGTTTATTCCATGCTCAAAGTAAAAGAAAACGGACACAAGGTTTCTGGTGTGTAGACTTCAGGTGTGAAGAAGGATGAAGGCCTGATATTGAAACCATAAATGAAACTAAATACCTTGGGACTATTATCGATTGTAAATTGACTTGGACCACCAATATGGAGGCAAGGTATTTCAAGATGCAACAAAGATTGTGTTTTTCTAAGGAAGACGTTTTAATGTAGAAAGCACAATGTTGTTACTTTTTATGAGTTTTATTCAGAGCATTCTAATATTTTGTATTTAAAGCTAGGGAGGTGCTTTGCCCTTGAAAAACAAAAATCAGTTGAACAAAGCGATCAGAATTGGTAATAAGATTACTGGTGCATCGTTAGACTCAGTAACAATAACACGTCTAACGGAGCGACATATTACTAATCTTGTACATTTCTGCCTTTATACCTAAAAGCATTCAATAGTTTAAATATGAAAAAAAGTTTGTTGGTATAGATCATTGTTATTTTATTATTGTTGTGTCCTTGTCTGTTTTTTTATTTTATTTTTTGGAACTGGAAAAGTTCTGATTGAGTGATGTTGTTAAATACTGTTTTTGTATGGACTGTTGTTGTATTATTATAGTATATGTTATATGTTTATGGGCTTTTGATGTGCAAGAATTCCCTTAGGGGCAATAAAGGATAATTCAATAAATTGAAGCTTTGCTGCAGTGATTAATTTGTAAGTTACAAAGTGCTGGAGCTAATGTGAATGGGAGGAGTGGATATAGAGGTGCAACAGAGGTACCAAAGCGAAGTGCATAACATCTATGTAATGCACTTTCAATGCATTTTTAAGCCAACACTGTTGATAACATTCTATAAAGATAACTTTTATAACATGGTTTAATTAGTTATTTCAACTACCATGATCATATGTTATTACACCTAATCTATTTTTGAAAAAAAAATCCTTTCTGATGGATGTGTCGTTGGGTCCATTAAGTTTCAGAATCTGACTTTGTGATCTCCTACTACTGGATATGAAACAGGATTCAATGCAATGAGCATGTTTCAGAAGTGACATCACCCTCTTAAAGCCTAGACAGTGTGGAATTTTGCATCTGCACAAGACCCAGTGCAGCAAATTTTGCTGTTGTCTAAGAATTATTGTTGTGTGACCCAGAGCCCACCAATGACCCACATCACATCCCATGAGGGGAATAGCAGAGCGGCATTTGTTAAATATACACCCCATGCATGCCTATAATGACAAAAATCATTTTCTTTTCTCATGCTTTCTGATATTTTTCATAAACCATTTTTTAAAACATATGAGCAGGTGTGTAACAGTATGAAGGCACTGTTTTACTCAGACTAGTAATCTAATTTAGCAACAATCAGATTTATGAGCACAATGTATTATCTCAAAACGTTTTCTGAGTAATCTGTTGCTGGATGATTGATTTTGCAATATTGGAATGCAAATCCAGATCACAACTATCACATTCAAATGTGAACAAATTTTATACCCAAAACCAGTTGGTGTATGGTATTTAGCCTCTTTGTAAGCTGTGCAGAAAACACTGGCTGTAGTAGATGTTTAGTCATATTGATCTTGGCTGATGTTCTAAAAGTGTCCCTTTTAGTTTTTTTTCCCAAAACACAGCTCAATGCATCTTGGATTGAGCATGTTCCGCACCCTTTTTCCTGAGAGCCCTCCAGAGTTTTTGAAGTAGAGGATTCTGTTCTGGCCCAACATTTTCTCTTGACACAGGGAATCTAACTTCCAACACAAGCCCATATTTGTTTTCTCCATAATTAGCCATGGGTGTTTGGTTTTATTCAGTTCATATGGTTCAACAGTCCAAACTACCATTCTGGTAGTCCTACTAAAAAAGCTGTTGATTACATTCATCTACACAATTAAACAAACTTAAAATAAATAAATAAAAATATTTTAAAACTTTGCTGCATGTTTGCCACTCCTCTCGTGCTATATTGTAGTCAGTGCTGCAATCTATACTGGCAGCACATACCTGTATAGCACAACACAACCCCATGCTCCCAGGCCTGTTGCATTTTTTATGCTTCAAGTCTATTTTAACATATTTTGGAATTGCCGACAAGCATGTTCAATTCTTTACGTCACAAGGAAGAGTATAGAAATACTGCAAATATGTCCATTTTGCCACTCAACACAGTTCAGAAAACACAATGGCTAAGTGGGGGAGGCAACGAGCTGCTCAAGAAGAAACCACTCTCCTCATAAAATGCAACCCTGAAGGTAAAAACTTCTCTTTGTCACCAACACTGTATTAAAGTGATAATTAGCAAGAAAAAGAACTATAAACAACTTACTAGATTTGCTGCTTCTGTAGAAAATGTTATGTCATCAATGAAAATAAGAATGTCAGCTGGAAGTAATCTATCAAAGTATTTAGCACAAGTATCATATGCATGTAAGTATTCTGGGTCCGAATGGGGCTGCTTTTTTAGGACTTGAGGGTCTCCTTTCCAGAAGAGTTTACGAAGCCATACTGCATGCACACTGCTGGATGACGGCACGTTTCCTTCTCTCTGAGGTAATCGGTGAGCCAGCTTAGAAATGGATAAAACATTTTGACTAGTCAGTACAGGCTCCAGAGCTTCCAAAGGGTCTTCATCATTTAGCTTTCTGTAGTTCAATCCTGGAAAAGGGAGAGACAACAGTATTAAACAGTAGTCTAAATAAAAGTATTATTACATTGTCAACGTAACTCAAGAAACATTCCAGACATAAGAAACCCTGATTTAACTTGTCACACTGAATATACTGGATTAGTGCCTGATATTTTAGACAGAGTACCATCCATTATGTCGGAATATAGGTACTCAAGAGCTGATGTCATGTGCCACCTGTTATTTATGGAGTTCTTTTTTAATGAAATCACAATAGATGGCAATTTTTTAAACAAGTTGCGCATTACAACAAGAGAAAGTGGGGAAAAAACAGAAATATAGAGAACCTCATCTGTATATACTGTACATTTGTAAGGTTCTTACAATGTCAAACACATTTGTGCTGACAAACAGCAAATGGCATGTTTATAAACATGTCAGTGACAGACACTTGAGGCAAAACATTATACACAGAATACTTTAGCTCTTGCAAATGACAGGCACTACGGATATCACCTCACAGTGAAAGGTTTGGCCTGTGAGTTGTGGCATTGTCAGCAATACTTTTAGGTTTGTCATTTATGCTTATCAGGCATCAGTGGTTGTGTGTAAGCCTGCATCAGAATCCACAATTTGCTCCATCTCGAAAAGCTTTACAAATAATCTTGGACGCACTAGATCAACAAATATATGATTCTTTCAAAACAAAGCTTTTGAAGACTTTTCTGAACAATGGTGAAATGAATGGTTTGTTCTTTTTTGTTCCCAAAACAGTTCAAAATGACAAATGAGATCAAAATGAATCAAAAGTTTTTGTTTTTCTCAGAAATAAAATGACTTTACTAGAAAACATCAATTTATAACTCTGTGTCACAACATGCTCTATTAAAATGAGCAGCCCCATATCATAAAGGGATGGTAAAAGTTCTTCAGAAAATGCAGCACAAAACAAAACGTTAGCAGAGGTACTAGGCAACAACTAGAACCTGTTGTGTGGCTTGTGTTAATTAAGTGAAGAACATTCCAACATATTTTAAGTCATGTACAAAAATACTAGAAGGGCTGACTGCCTATAATTTTGGATAACATGGCTGCAAGGTGAGACTTCAGTTGGGGCACATTTGAAAGGAGCTTCAGTGATCAAAACAGGTCGGTGAAGATTTGCAATATGGTCATATGTATCATACTTCACCATGTTCTAAATAAATGGATGAGTGCAGATGTGGCACCAAACTAAAGAACCTTAAAGCCCTGGGAGGGGTATCTTCCAAGACGACAATGATCCCATCCATTGGAACACATGCAGTTATGCAATAGTTCAATGAGTACAATGGGCATCACATTTTGTTAGACATAAATCATATCCTTCTCATTCATCATGATTTGAACGTAATCAAGATTTTATGGAATGTCTGGGAAAGATGCCCAAAACAGCATTTTCTACCTTTATCTACCAGACATGAACTGACTGACGTTTTCATGTAAAAATGGTACTGCAACACTCCTACAGAATTCCAGCACATATAAGCTGTACTGTTAATATGTGGTATCCTAATGACATAATGTATTAAGTAGCTTCTCTTTGGTGTTTCCATTTTAAATGACATTGTAAATCAGATGTAAACAAAAAGCTGATATTTACTTTGTAGACCCAGATGTAATACTGCATGTGGTTGGACATTTTCTTTTGGTGGTACTTATTTTATTTTGGCAGTTCATAATATAATAAAAATCATTTTCAATACACACAAGTGGTTCTGGAAACTACTAAAGTGATTATTCTAATTGAGATCTGATGATTATACTGTTATATCCACAACATCATCAAATACTTCAGTGGTATATCAGCTCCTGGAAATTACAAATGGTAATATTAGTTTCATAACATGTACTAGAAAACAAAGAACTGATACTTAAACAGAAACTGTAATGGCGGCCAATGGCTCAAAAGATGAATTCTAGAGTTGGAACAGGTACGTAAAGTGCATCAGGTGACCAATGCAAATGGGCAAAACCAAGCCGGTTCCAAGCCGGAGAGACACAGAGGAGGTACAAGGGAATTTCCGAAGGCCAAGGTTCAGTGAAGCAACTAGGGTACTGTACATAACTTAGTAGAACATGAGGGAGATTTAAAGCCTGAGATGACATGAAGCAGGGTTGAGAGTCCAAAGCAAAACGCAGACAAAATATGAGAACATAGCAGTGGCTAAGAGATAAAGTCTATGATGGAGCACTGTTTGCCCAGTACTAAGTCTTCTTCACCCAGAGTCAAGGGATGATGTGATACTGAAATGTGAGCTTCCTAATTGTGTTTCCATGGAAATCTGCCTGACTGACAGATGGAAGGGGTGTGACCAGCTGCCACAGTTGACCTACTTTGTGGATTTACATGTAAATAACATGTATAAGCTACAATAAGGATCTGAATTGCAACACACATCCATCACACACATTCACAGCACGGATTTAGAAAAATAAACAAAATACAAATGCAAAACAACAAGTGTTAACCCAACAATTATGAAAGATACACTGGCAATTAAAAAACTTTTAAAAATTAAATAAACAATGTGTAAACAATGTAGAAAAGAAGTGTAATTCTGTCATCAACAAAGTAAAACAGACTGAATGGTTCTTGTAAGATAAGATAAGATCACTTTATTAGCCATATACAATTTCTTTCATTAGGAATTTGTCTTTTTGCATACCCCAGCTTGCTCTCCATGAGACACACAGGCACACAAACAGGGAGAGAGAAGCTTGGGGTCAGAGTGCAGGGTCAGCCATATATATACGGCACCCCTGGAGCAGCTGGGTTTAAGGGCCTTGCTCAGGGGCCCAACGGAGGAGGATTCCTTTGCTGGCCACAGGATTTGAACTGGCAACTTTCCAGCCACAGGCACAGATACTTAGCCACGGTGCCACCGCTCCGCCAATGCATCAATCTCAAACCTGACTCGTTAAAGAAAACACTTACCAGCTGCCACTGCCTTTAGCTTCTTGAGTAGTTTTATATGAACATCTAGTTTAATAGTTGTTTTCACAAAATCCGAACATCCACAGCTTTCAAGCAGGGAGAAATAGTACAGGAAGCGGAGGAGATCTGTGCCTTCAATGCTGGGATATACATATTTGGTCATGTGTTCATAAAAGGCTTCTGGATTGGTTTTTAATGTATCCAAGAGACCCAGAGTCTCTGTTCTGCTTTCAATCTCCTTTGTAGAAAGGCTTTAACAGAAAAAGCACACATAAACAAAATCAATATTAGAAAACAGGCTTTAAGTTTCTAAACAAATCACCTTTTCTTTTTAAAATTCATAATAACCAAGAAATTATCCAAATATTATTTATAAAATAAAATAAGTTGAATAGGGGGATAAACTTCCTATTTTCAATGACTGTTGTGACACAGTGAAATGAATCTTTCCCTGTTCACCACTAGAGGACCCCTCACACCACCAAGGCACCCCTCTAAAATATTTCTCTCTCCATGATTGTCGCGTGAGAATGTCTCTCATCAGCACCACCTGACCTTCTAATTAAGAGCCCTGTATTAAATTCTCACGTGACTTCATTTGTCCCAGGACCACGTCATCGGCTGCATAGCTAAGGCGCACTCTTTTCGTCTCTAAAAACCTTAGAATTTCTTAGAATTATTCTATTTTTTTCTCTTGAGCCTTACCACTCATTATCTCACCTTAGTGAAGTATCCTAAATTTTGAGCAACTACACACCGGCTCTCAAGGTTTTGACTCTGAAGCCTGTGAAAAGGCAGTCCAAAAGGACTATACACTGTTACAGAGTATTAAAAAGTAAAGACAACTAACTTTCCTTTTAAATCCTGTTCCAAAAGGTCTGTAAGTAAAACCTGAAATAAGTATTTTTTTGTTTTAAAAGATAAACTCATTTTAGTCAAGAATGCGGTTGTTGAAGAGTAACAGAAGTAAGTCACTTAAAGTTTGGTAGGAATCTAAAGAAGTGGTGAAGCTGCTTACTTCTAGAGAAAAGGCATATGTGAGGTGTTGTAACTTTTGTTTGTCTCAATTAGTCTTGAGACAAATTTTCACTTTAAAGTTAGACTACAACTTTAAAAGAGACTTAAGAAAAGTGGGGAAAAAGAAATATTACAATCCTCAGAGCCAAAACTTATAAACACACCCACAACAGTATGTAATACTAGTTTAGCATCTTTCAGTAAATCATAGGGTGCATATATAGATTTTATGGTGCTATTTTTATTCAGTTCCATTTACATACATTTTTGTTAACTCTGGCTTTATAACTTCAGATTTGACTACATCTGCACTTTTGCCTAATTGAATGTCTTTTCAGACAAGATAAACAACATTCCTGAAAGTGATAAATATTCAGACTCTCCATATCTCTTTCATTTTGATCGAAGAGAATGTTTTATAGAGTTGTGTTATCAATAAATTAGAAATAGTTCATTTAAAATCTGTCATGAACACATGCCACTAAATGCATATAGGAGAAATGCTTTATAATTCCATCTTCTACTCATAACACCTACAATTCAGCTTAATGATAATGTGTCTCCACTCATAATCAAATTTAAACAGAAACATAAACACACAGAGTTTATCAAATATACTTTTAAATGAAAATCTAAAAAAATATCCAATTCCATTAGTCACATATTGTACATTTTAATAATATTGCAAGAATGAAACATTGATTAGCACTTCAATTTTGCATATTACACCCACGGTTATTGTGATGTTAATATCTGTGCCAGGTTTTATTATAGAATCATATGTAACAAAATGCAGTATTTTTGCAATGATTACATAATAAACTGGCAATCTAAATCAGGTTGCTGCTTAAGTTGCTGCTATGAGAACCAGGGACAATCCATTGTAAGAGGAGAAATCCTTTGACTAAGTTGTTAAAACCAATCCTGGTTACTACTTGGCTATTAAATATGCTATGGCACATGTCCGGAAGAGCAGTGTCATAACTAAATTCCACTTTCAGCTTGACCTGTCTGGGCTACGCAAACTTCTTTAATTTAATTGGTTGAGTTGCTAGTGCTAACCTGTGTCACCCCTATGGGTCATGCACTTTAGCAGTATATAAAGTGAATCCACTTCTATATTTAAAATGCTTTGGAGTCCTCATAGATTAAAAAAAAAAACATATAATTCCAAATATTTATAATTCTATTTAAAGGTGAAAATTGCAATAAATATTCTATATGATAATACATTATCCTAAAAGGACCTCAGGCATTTTTTATATCCATTTATTTTCCCCAGATTTTATTTATACTAACCCAGACTCATCCTACCAATACATTTGAACAAATTTTAACTAAGAATAACCTATGATTTGCCATGATTTTCACATTTGATTTCAATTATAGCACAGGCTGCCAAGCACACTATATTTTAAGCCACAGTAACAAAAGCAAAACTAAGTGTTAACTGTGTCCTGTGAAGCAGAAAGAACAAACCAAAGAGAATACTATTCAATTTGTTATGTCCCTCAAATGATTACATTCCTGAACAGTTTAATTCTTATTATTATTAAATATAATATAGCGCACTGTAGTAATTTTGCAGTAAAGCAGTTTTAGTGTAGAGTATTTAGAATTTTTCTTGTTTGTAAAATAATATTGGATGATCTACCAGTAAAACAATGTACTTTAAGGTTAAAGAGACAAACAGAATTGGTAACTGACAATTTATGCTTTTGCAGTGGGATATGCTCCTGTATCTTCATAATATTTTAAAAAGATTTAAGACTTAAAATGCCAAACAAATAATTTGTACATTAATACACCTTAGGGAATCCAAAGGATCCAATGGAAACTGCATGATCAACTATGCAATTAAATAGTACTGCTGCTATAAGATCTATTAATGTCACTGAATAGTGAATTCTTTGCACAGAGTACAAAATCAATAAACAAAGAAGGATAAGTAAGAATGTAACATTAAGGTACTCTGAATTAAACTACACTTATGGTGTATATAGTGTTTATGGTAACTGTTACGTCCCAGTGTGTGTTCTGTGTGTTTTTTCTGTTATGTCCACACTGCTGACCCTTGATTGTTCTCCCTTCCCCATTGGCCAACCATCACACCACTGTTTCAATATGATGTCATCATCAATCAGCCCTCAGCCAATCAGAACTCATTTTATTCACTATATAACATGGAGGCTTTCAGAAAGAAAAAGCCTTTCGTTTGCCTTCGGGCCCGTTTGGTTTTGGTTATCGCTTCGCTTCTGGTTATTGCTTCGGCTTCGTTTGTTTGTGTGTGTATTTTCGTATAGCTTCGGTTTTGTTGTTTTGTTGGTTTTCTGTTAGTTTCTTTGTACTTTCGTTTTTGTGTGTTCATCCTTGTTTTGTCATTACCTTGCCCCAGTGTTACATGTTCAACTTTTGTGTTCTTTTGTACCCTGCTCCTGTTGATTACTCTTGTTTTCCCTTATTTGTATTCCTGGTTTACTTGTGTTTTGTGTGAACTTTTGTATATAAGGTTAGTTTAGGTTGTTGGGTACACTTACACACTTAGTTGATTTTGTATTAGTACACTAGTTTAGTACGGGTGAGTGCCGTTTGTCTTGTATGGTTTTGGGTAGTCAGTGCAGGTTAGCTAGGGTGTTGAAGACGCCGAAGACCGTATGTTTCAGGTTTTCTTTTGTAGTCAGATTAGCTTTCCTTCACTGTCCTAGCCAGCTCCATTTTGTTTGTTATTTTCTTTCCTTTGGCACCACTCTAGTTCCTTACCCTTGTTATCACGCTTCCTAGTCCCTCACCAAAACACCCCTGCTTCCAAAAGAATTATCCTAAATGTTACACCCCTTTACCCCTAGACACTTGGGGTCGTAACAGTAACACTATGCAATTATGCAATACATAGTGTGACAATGCTTAGGGTTAACTACTCATACACTATGTGTGAATAAAATTTATTTTTTTAAAATCTTGACAAAATTCTTATTGGACCACTAGTACTTGGCAGATCAAAATGGAAGGAGCTGAGTGCCAAGTTTCTGGTAACCAAAGATTTCAGAAATTATATGGATGATCTGGTTGTGATACCTGTTGGGTGTTTTCTTTTGGAAATTGTTTCTGCTGAATCATATTTTAGGTTGATTCTGATTAAAGTCACTTAAAAGTCAGTTTGTTGTTATCTGGTGTGTCATGGCTCCGGAGCGCTGGAAACTTTGTGGGTTTCATTCCCAGGTGGGCCTGCTGTTATATACTTCTAAATTATGCAGTTCAGACATTTTATACAATTAGGGACGCATTGTAAGGTTTATATCCAATCTCTTCATTTACTTAGTCTTTCTGATGAGGCAGCTGTACTGAGGTTCTTATATCCATGTCTGAGTTAGAAGATGCAGTTCAGCACATTGCAAAAGTTAAATTTCCTGGCAGTGAAGGCATTTCTCCTTTTTATATTACTTTTTATCCTGCAAGTAGGTACCCTTATATACCCGTGTCATTCAGAAAGCTTAACATCAGAGAGATGTTATGAATGCTGTTGCATCTTTATTATTGCAATAAATACACAGACTCACTTTGTGCAAGCTATCGGCCTGTCCGTTTGATTTGATCTGACACTTCTGGAAGTGTACTGTGTATGACTAATTTAGTACAAAATAATTAAACAGATTTTCTTAAAGGGAGTAGATCACAAAATATTTTTCTCACCGAGGTGTGAATTATGGTGATTTTATTTTTTTAGGGCAGATACCAGACTACATTGGATTATAAAATTTGTAATAACATTTTGTGGTTGTATTATTCTTATACATAATCGTGAAATTCTTTGTCGTTTATTCTTTCTCACAAAGAGACACTTCTCCCATGCCGGAAATGTGAGAGTAGTGACTTGACTAGATTGTGGTATGCTGGTAAATTAGCATATGAAATAGGTAACAGGGACTTTGATTTAGAATTACAGTAAATCAATGAAAGAATGGAAGAAAAGGATCAAATAATGAATTTCTTCCATTCTTCACTGAATTTAATTAAGGAAACAAAGTTAAAAGTATATCAGGAAAAATATCTGATTGTGTTATAGTTAAAATGCTTCAAACGTTTCGTGAAATAAAGGAATGGATTTAAGAGACTGGATGTTAAATTCTTTTTCTCCATATGACTGCAAAAACAGCCAACATGCTAACAAAAGCCACCAAAAAAGTTCATTATTAAATTATTGGTGAAGTTGTTTAGTGCCCATGTTATAACAGAGTAAGCTTTAATTATTGACCGTTTAGTACATAAAGTATAAATAGCGTTTCCCAGCGTTAGTCAGTGGATGGGTTGAAAGCAGTTGAAAAAACATCTTTAAAATTCATTGGCAGAGAGAAGGTGGCTGCTCTAGAGAATCATGTTTTGTTTGAAAACCTCCATAAACGTAGAAAAAAGCCTCTTACACCTTAAAGTGTCAAGTGTTTTTCAAATGTGTAGATCCGGGATTAAACCTTTAAGGAAATAAAATGATTGAAATATTTTGTTACAGCAATTTTAAGATGACATAAAAATTAAATTATATAATAAATTGAAGCAATTAAGAAACAAACTGAATGGGAATACTTTTAAATGATATAGTATGACATATATAGATCTAAGGAATTATACTGGATTTAAATATTCACTTATCATTGATAAAATTCACAAAGTCACCATTAGGATAATTACAATTTTTTGTAGTAAGTGCAGTGACAATTTAATGAACAGACATATCTTTACGCTGATTAACAGTTATCATAAACGACGTTGCTTTAGTGACATCTTCATTAAAGCAATTGGTTAGATTGCATAATTGAACGATCAAATCCACACTTAAAGGGAAGTAACAACAATCTCTATACTTTAAAGACCTGGGGGTCCTTCAAAACGTTTATGATTCTTTCTTTTATGAACACTGTTTGTTAAGTTTAATCTTCACGTTACTATATCTTGGACACTTGTAGAAAGACTAGCCTTTCCATAATGACTTTTAAGATTTAATTTATACTGGTGTTCCCCTAAAACATTGTAGATTATGTTTTGACTACATAATTAGTTTTATTTCACTTGGTGTTTGGTGGAATGACTAACAAAGACAATGAAAACATGGCTTTCTCATTTTCTATGCTCTATAATTGTAATAGATTAAAAAGATAACATATTTTTAACAAAGATGGTCTTTGCTCATTCTAGTTCTACTGTAGTTTGTTTTTGTTTCTTGTGTCACAGCCTATGACATCCCCATGGGTAAAGTTGTCTAACCACAGTATAACCTGCTAAATAAAGTTTTTTAGTTCAATAGCTTTATACAAACTCTTTGCAGCAAATACTACTTGAAATAGTGCCTTGAGCATTACAGATGAAGACATTACCTGGCACATTTTAATATAAATATGCAGAAATCCTAACCATCAAACAATTTACCCAGATTATTTTTTAAAGAGTATACTTGACTCCCTTGTACATGTTATTTATTTTCTAATCATGTGTGTATATCTTTGGCATGCACAGATGTGCTTAAGCTTTTATTTTATGTCCAGTATTCTTAACAAGAATAGTTCCTGTTCTCAACCACAATGAATAACAAGGTCTCACAAGGTAAAATGGTACATAGAAAATTCTGTGTGGATACTCATAACATGTTAGGTAAATTTGTATACAACAAGGGATTATTGTATTTCAACTGGAAAACTGAAGAACTGAAATACAAGTTTGATGGGTTAGCATCACCTGTAAACTCTGCCGGAGAGACTGATAACAGTTTTAATAGTTTTAAGTGGAAACAGAATCGGCAAAAGATTAAAAGGATGTTCTGTAGCATGGAAAAAATAAATAAAATACATGCAGAACAATATACAGTATATTTGCAAGATAGGAGCAGCAACCTTCTACAGCTATTGTTCTTTGGCAACATCTACCTTTACAAATCAGGCATGTCGGCTTTGCATTTACTTCTATGAAGAAACTACATTTCACTCATACCACATTACGTTCTTTTATTCTTCCATAAGATAATTACAAGAAAAGATACAAATTGACTCCTTGCTAATGGATAGTACTGCAACTGCCATGCGGGATGAGTTTGGCTGGCCAGATCTGACTCAAGCCCTATTGCTACCAACACTTGCATATTACTTAGATTAACTGAGTAACCCATTTATTCCTGGCAACACTGACACTTCTATCACATTTATTGACAAACGTGGGTTTAAATGCACTAATTATTGTTTCATCGATCATCAATGAATACAGTACTTACCCACTATCAGTGAAGAGGAATTCCAAATGTGTCATGTATACCTCCCAAAGAGGAATACTGTATCTTTGAGCCAGAGAAATTGAAATCTTGTAGACATTCTCTTCCAGGGTTCTGCAACATCAAATATTGAATTATAGGCTTATTTTAAAATAAAAGATTACAACAATTGTTTCTTCACAATGTTATTGTCTACTTTTACAATGGATAGCAAAAATAATAATATGACTTATTATAATAAAAATCATATTTATGGATAAAAAACATACTCTACAGCAAATCTGCAAAATGTATCTTGAAAGACAACTGTTAAAATAGAAGTGCTATTTTCATTGTAAATGTAAAGAAAAAATGAATAAAAAATCTATAACTTCGCCATTTCAACCTTTTGTATTTTGTAATTTTGTATTTATGTAAGATATTGTGTGAAAAAAATTGGTTTTGTTTTGGGCAATTTAATAATTAAAACAAAATGTTTTTCTGACATAGCATATTTAGGAAACTTAAAACATGTTATATGAATTACTGTTAGGGTAATAAGCAGAATTGTATTTTAATATACCTTAATTTCACCATTTTCAGGTGTGCAGAGCTGAATAATCATTCTGAGTGAAACGATGAAACAGGAGAAGGAACAAGAACTGCTTTGTTATGCTTCATAATTTTAGGGTTCTAAATTAGCCTATACTTATGAATCAAAAGAGAGTGGTGAAGTTAGTAAAGCACACTATAGTCTGGAAAATATTTTTAAAAAACTTACTCTGCCAGGCCCAGGATAGTTTCTCTTTTATACTGGCTATCAGCTGAAAACCTCTGAATGTCTACACCTCTGCCGAGACTTTGCAGAATCTGAGCCTGGGTGAAGTCCGTCAGCCTCTCGTTGTAGAGACAAAGTTGCTTTATCAATTTCTCAAGCTCTTCAGGCCAAGTAACAGCAGCATTGTCAGAAATGTGCTTTGTCACAAGCTTTATTAGTTCTTTGGGATCAGCCTGCAGAAAAAATAGAAGAGTAAAATCAGAAGCATCTTTTTTAAAAAAAAAACTAATGATATTCAAGGTAATAAATTGAATAATGCAACAATATTAATGGGTTTAAAAATGTTTTTTTACAGACTTCAGATTTCTTCAGCAATTATGATTTTAAATCTCTCATCTGAGAAGTTATTTAATAAACAATTGGCACAACTTGGTAGAATTACAAATGTACACGTATTTGGGATAATGTATTTTCCAATTGTTAAGAAGTCCCACAATGTACATCACAAATTGTATTTCTTAGAAACCATGTAGAAAGTGCTTTCATCAAGGCATAAACAAAAAAAAGATACACACATTCTGAAAATGATCTGCTAAAATGTAATATGGAAGGATGATGCAGATTTTACAATGGTTTCAAAATAAGAAACAATTATACAGTGCTTTTTAAGAGTATTCAAATCCATACAGTTTTTACATTTTGTTGCTTTGAAGCAGACATGGCACTTTGAAGTGCATGTGTATTATTTCAATAGATACACCACAAATTCAAATAAAATATAAAGAAGTGAACTAATAAATAGCAGAATGGAATCGTGGAAAAGTCACGACTGTATTAGTATTCAAACTCTTGGCTGTGGTACAACCAGATTAATTTAGGTGCACAAAATGACTTTAATGGCCAACTGAATAAGATGAGTGGCCTCTAACTGTGTGCAACAATAGTAGTTCACACGATTTCAGAATAAGCTCATCTTTGTAAAGTCCCTCAGTCTGGTAGTTAAGTTCAAGGAAAAAATCTGTATAAAACACTTTATTCATTTCATAACAGTCACAAAGCCCTTAATTTCTCTACAAACAGGGTGAAGGTGAAAATGAACAAGTAGATAAACTACCTAGTTCAGACTTTGTCTCTCAAAACTGCAGCCAGGCAAGGAACGGTTAGGGATGGCACCATGACACCAACAGAAATTTGGAAAAAGTTACAGAATTCAGTGGTTGAGATGGGAGAAACTGTTCATATGACTAAAATAACCCAGTCACCTCCCCCTCCCAACCCAAAATCTAAAAAAAAACTGCACAAGTCTTGTGAAAAAGTACATATGTGATGCTGTAAACATATGGCAAAAGGTTTTGTAGTCAAAACAAGACAAAACTGGAATTTTGTCATACACAGCAATGAAAAGTGTTACATCCGATGGAAACCCAGTGTAGTGCATCACTCAGATAACACAATCTCAACTGTCAAACAAGGTGGTTGCAACATTATTGTATTCCTCTTCTCATCAGCAGGGACTGTCTAGACAGATGGAAACATTGAAGGAGTGAAATACTGGCACATATTAGAGGAAAACTTGCTTTAGAATTAAAACTGTAGCTAAAATTTACATTTTAGCAAGACAGTAATCCAAACCACAAGCTAAAGCTACACTGTAGCAGTTTAAGAATAAAAAAATGAATGTCACTGAGTAAGACCAGACAAAGTTCTGACTTGAATCAACTTAAGACAGCTTGAGCAATCTGCCAAGAAGAACAGGAAAAAACTGCATCAAGCTGATGTGCAATGTTTACTAACTCTGCCAAAAAGACACGTAGTCATGTTACAGAGGGCTCTGTCACCAGTTTCAGGCAGCACTTATACTTATCCTTCACTACAATTACCCATTTTTCCCCCAGTATTATCAGTCAGCTTACCATAAATACACACACAGACAAGTTAGTTTTTCATTTGTTCATACATGCCACATTATATGCATTACACATCATGTTCAATCTCTAGACATTTAAACATACACATACACAAAAATGTAGATGTATTTCTTTTGTATTTTACTCAGACTATTTGTGTGTGGGGCACTCTGTTTGTCGGATGGGTTTGGGAGTACGGAGCCGCTTCTGCCATTCTGGTAAAGGACCCAAGCCAAGTTGCAGGCATTCACATGCACATTACTTGTAAATATGGGAGAAACTATTTGTTGGGTTAAACCATGCACTGTTTAAAAAACAGTTAAAATGAACTCTGCCAGGTAGTAATATGTTAATGAACTGTGTGTTACAATATGGTTACTATGTACTTGTGTTAATTGTTTTTGATCCCTTTTTGGTATTGTCGAAGGGGAAAAGTGGAAAAGGAGCCCCACCAGCACAAAGTGAGCATGTTACATTGTACAGTAGTGTTGCCTATGTAGTGCAGTGATGCTGTTATATTATCTTAGGATTTTGTCTTATTTGTCATTTAACACTGACTGGTGTAGCTTGGAAGTTTCCAGATTAAATATCTTGCACTGAAGCTAGTTTTTTAAAAAATATTTTTGCAGACAGCAACGGTTACTTATCTTACCCTTCAAAGTTTTCAGTTTGAACACTCTGATTTTGACTAAAATATCTAGTTTAGTGTTAAATGTGTGTCATTTTGTAATTTCACAAAATGGGAAACCAAAGGGTATAAATACTATTGCGAGGCACTGCCTGTAATGTCTGCTAATTTCCTTTGACACTGAAACAAAAGAAAATACTATCACTCTCTGCAATCCTAGTTCTTTCTTACAATATTAATCTGTACCGTCCACACAGCTTAATATTTTTTATTAACACTTGTCAACATTTAAGCATAGGCAAAGACCTTATGCAAACAATTATTTCTTAACTGCAATCCACTTGAGAAGAAGCCCTACTTTTTAAACTAAAATTTTAAATAATTAATTAGAATCATCTGGGCAGGAATCAAAAACTAAAGTTCTTTCATAAAAATTAACATATGTTAAAAATAAAAATAATTTATTTCATGCATTACACAGGATATAATTTAAATGAATACTTGTCCTCAGGGAAAAGCACACATTGGTAAAACTAAAAGAAAACTTTGAAAAGGTCCACGTCTCCAAAAAAGTGATTATATTAACCAGGTAGGCTTTCTTATATTAATACTTTAATACTATACAGATTGAACATAGAATTAGGTTTCAAGCCTTTTCTATAAATAGAAGCTGATAAACAAGTTTTAAATTGGAATGAAAAAATAATTTATTTGATATAAACATAATTATAATTTTTGAACATATGCTGATTGTATTTAATTGATGTTCTTGAAAAAAAAAGCTGTGAATATCCTATCAACCTGTCACACTTGGTCTTCTGGTTTTTGTGGAGTATGTAGACAAATGTGAACATAAGAGCCAGAGAACTTCCTGTTAATCAAGAGTAGCTGACACAGATGGTCAATGATGTGCCAGTAAAGTTTTGGTACAAGGACAGACGACACCAAGATAATCTGCAACTAAAGTGATAGAAAGATTAAACTGTGGAGAAAGAAAGGAACTGCGGATGTTTCAAAGAACCCTACCTAATCAGTGAAGCATGGTGAAGGTAACGTCATGCCCTAAGCATTCATGTCTGCCTCTGAAACTGACTCACTCATCTTTATTGAGGATGTGAACTACAGTAAGTGAACTATCGATGGCAACAGCAGAATGAAATATATTTTATAAGAATGTGTCCCACTGCCTTTTGTCACTTGAAATCACTGAAAAAAGTACAATGTAAGACACTTTTTATATCATTCATATTAGTATATTCAGAATAATATCATATATACAAATTGTTAAACCTTAAAGCAAAAACAGTTTTGACTTGAAAGTCACAAAACTTTAGCAATGTGCTGTACTTTACACTCTAATGCCATCGGTGTTATGGTATCTATTCAAATATACTTTGTCATAAATTTATTTCACATTTTTTCAAGAGGATTAAATTGCATCCATCTGGTTATTTTTACTGAATTAAACAACTTTAGTTTAATCTTTTTATAAGGATCACTAGCATGTTTACAAACAAACCCATGTTCATGTGTGTTATTTTTAATCATGAAGGTTACCGTTTATGAACAAACAGCTCAGATTATGAAAAGTCTACTTTGGCGCACTCACAAAAAGATACTTGAAAAGGTTTTAGAGGAGAGTACTGGTACATTTATTATACAGTTTATTTTTTCTTTCCCTATTTGCCTTTTAACAGGTCTTGACATGACAAGGTCTCTTACTTAAAAGTGGAAGAAAAGGGTATACACAACAGGGAAATTTAATTGTTTCTGCTCTACAACCTTAATGGATTTTAGGAATAGTGATGTACAGAAAAACATTTAATTCAGCTATTAACATGAAAATTATCTGTTAAAAACAGTAATTAATTGAGTGTTCAGGTAAGTCATATCAAACCTTTTAATTTCTAATAAAGCTGATGGTTTTTGTTTTCCTTGTTTTGACATGAGGGAATCTCTTATTATGTCACAACTCCTTTTTGTATTACCTGAGAACTCCAAGTTAAATCAATAATTAAAATTAAATTTTAATAGCATACATTAAATAGTTTTAAATGCATGCAGACAATACATTAAAAGTCAATATTTATCCAGACAAACAAACAAGAAGTACGAAGTGAGCATTTAAAGTTGATGGATGTGAAAATCAATGGAAGGCAATTTCCTTGACTTTCAAAGTAATATTGAACAGGGTAATCTGGGTGGTGGGGTACAAACAGGTGGATGCTGCACATTGGTGGTGGTGGAGGGGAGTCCCCATTACCTGTAAAGCGCTTTGAGTGGTAGGATTTTAATAGGATTTTTTATTTGAACAATTTTTAACAATAGAACACTTTGTGGAGCAGGTAACCACTGCTGTTTCTCTACAATCTACTGGGTGTCTGTGACTCAGCAATCTTACAAAGAGGTATGATAGAACTTATTATATTCACACCCTTTAAGGCACATAGACTTTATTACGAAATTTTTTTCTATTTCAAATTATATGATATGATGTAATACTGTCACACAAATCTCTTGAAAAATGAAGACAAGGCAGAAAGAGATATGCATATGTACTGTATTTTTTCTAAGAATCATGCATTCATCTTTCATCTAAGACCTTCTTACTCAGCAGTGTTAACAGAGGGGAAAAACAGACATTATAAAAATATATATCTAAATAGTGAGGCCCACTTAAAACAGTGAAAAATCCTAC